GTGACAGGAGGGGAGGGCAGAGAGATCCTGTAGGGCTGTGGGGGGTGTTGCAGAGACTTAGGCTTTGACTCTGAATGAAATGAGGGATAGAGCAGAGCAGTGACATGAAATGTCTTACATTTAAGAGGGGTTATCCTGGTTATTGTGTTGACGAAAGACTAGAAGAATGAGGAAAGGAGCAGGGAGATGAATTGAGAGGCTATGCTGCTATCCAGACAAGAGGCAATAATAGCTCAGACCAGAGTGGTGTCACTGGTACCAGTGAGAAAAAAGATATATTTTGAAGGTAGAGTCAACAGGATTTCTTGATGGATTGGATGTGGGGATATGAGAGAAGAGTTAAAGATGACTCCAAAGTCTTAGCCTAAAAACTGGCAGGATGGACTAGCTATGATGGAGAAGGCTGTAGGTGGAAGAGATTTGATGGGCAAACAGTTCAGTTTGGGTTGAATTTGAGATTTCCATTAGACATTCGAGTGACGATATGTGAGTAAAAGTTGCATATACAAGTCTGGATTGAGACATAAGATCTGGACTAGGGGTTTAAATTTGCATTTAGTAGGCATTTAAACTCAGATGAGATCACTAAAGGAGTGACTGTGAATGGAGAAGATAAAACACCATGAGCTGAGCCCAAGGGCCCTCTACTATTAAGAAATAGAATCAGGTGAGCGAAGGCTTTAGTTGTGGTGTTAATAGGCATAGAGCCTTGCAGTGGGGAGCTAAAGCTTGGCCAAATAAGGTGGGGTATGGAATGTGGAAGCCTGAGTAAAGCTGAGCACAGAACCTATGTGGTGAGGGGCACTAACAAATATAACACATGGGATAATTGAGGTTGGAAGTGCTTAAGCTCAGATTTTGGGTTTGTATATAAAATAACTTGTATATACAATGAGCAGTTTGCCCCTCATATACTTAATATTAGCTTTAGGGGATGGCCAGGGCCAGGACCAGAATAGTAAAAGTGCTAACTATCTCCCATGGATGTATTTGAAGCAATAAAATTTCCCCTTTCACTTTTAGAGATACCAGTCAACAAGCAGAATCTTTGGACAGATCAGAAGTTTTTCAAGTGTCTAAAAGTGCTGTCATTGAAGAGAATTCAGGAATATATCAGTCAAAATCAAAACCAAAAATGAAAAAGTCTTCATCTTTCTCTTCCTTTTCTTCTTCCTCCTCTTCCTCATCTTTGTCTTCCTTCTTTTCTTCTTCTTCTGAATCCAGACGTGCGGACTCTATTGGTAAGCAGAGGGTTTCTTCCATTTGAATTCAGACTCCTCTAGGAGACATCCCAATTTTAATAGGAGCTCTCTCATTATACCTACTTCCCAGTTTTCTCCACCAGTCTGATTTTCTGGTCTTAGTTACTTTCTTTGTGCTTCTTCATTTCCCTGGTACTTCTGCTTCACATTGGGTAAGTGTGGCTGTGGCTGTCTTTGCATATTGAAAAAGTGATCTCTTGGTGATGTACCCTTTTCCCTCACTGCTTCCTGT